ATGGCTAAGGACTCAGCTGCTCGGATTGAGTTGGGCAGGTCATTCCACCAGGAGGGAACAGTTAATGAAAAAGTCTGTGAAAGTGATTTTGTGCCTCTTTGGGATGGCACAATAATGCGTCATTCACTTGCAGAACGCAAGCTTCTATAGGGCACATAACTCTGAAGTAATTAATTTAGGTAAAGGGGTGCAGAGCAAGTGGTATTTTTGTAGGCAAACATTAATGCCTTGAATTTTATGTGAGCAGCTATTGGTAGCAAGTGCAAATTTATGAACAGAGGTGTGACATGCGTTCTTTTCGGCTCGTTAAAGATTAATCTTGCAGCGGCGTTTTGGATTAATTGTAGAGGTTTGATAGAAGTTGCTGGAAGACCTGCCAAGAGAGCATTGTAATAGTCCAGCCTGGATAGAACAAGAGCTTGAACAAGGAGTTGTGTTGCATGTTCTGAAAGAAAGGGCCTGATCTTCCTAATGTTGTATAAAGCAAATCTGCCGGACCGGGCAGTTTTAGCAATGTGGTCTGAGAAATTCAGCTTATCATCAATCACAACTCCAAGGTTTCTAGCTGTTTTTGAAGGAGTTATGGTTGAAACCACAAGCAGTTCTGTCTTAGCCATGTCGAGTTGAAGGTGATGGTCCATCATCCAACAAAAAATGTCTGTTAGACATGCTGAGATGCGAGCAGCTATCGTCGGATCATCAGGATGGAATGAGAGATAGAGTTGAGCATCATCAGCATAGCAGTGATATGAAAAGCTATGTTTCTGAATGACAGAACCTAGTGATGCCATGTAGACAGAGAAGAGAAGTGGGTCCAAGAACTGAGCCCTGAGGCACCCCAGTAGCTAGACAGACTTGGAAACCTCACCTCTCCAAGATACCTTGAAGGATCTAGCTGAGAGGTAAGAATCAAACCACTGGCGTGTGGTTCCTGAGATGCCATTTTCCAATAGGGTTGACAGGAGAATCTGGTGGTTCACTGTATCAAAAGCAGCGGACAGAACCAGCAAGATAAGTTTAGAAGAGTTGGAAGCCGCTCTTGCCAGTCTTAGGGCTTAAACAACTGAGAGCAAGGCAGTCTCAATCGAATGTCCACTTCTGAAGCCAGATTGGTTGCTGTCCAGTTATCTATAACTCTTCCAGGCGCCAATCCAAGAATTGTGCATACTAGCCTGGAAAGGAAAGAGAGGTCAGCATGCTGACTCAAACTGGCACAGCCAAAAGGTGTCTTGCCATTTGGAAAAGCTTAGCCTGTTTTTAAACTTCAACTGTACCACAAATCAGTTGGTTGAATTTGGTTTTGTTAAACTGAATGATTTGATGTTGACTCAAGGGTTTTGTAATGTTGATTGGCTTAGTCCCTCCAGGACGCTTGATTGATTTCTGGAGAAATGATCAAGGACAGCACAAATTAGCACTTATGCTCTTTTGTTCTCAAGTTTTTACTACTCTCACATCTTCTCTAATTTCATTAACATACTGAGGAATGATGAGATGATGTATTCCTGATAAGAAGCTATAGTTTATCAGAACAACACAAGGAAGAAAACTTTTTGTCTCTGTTTGTGAGCCTGTAGGCGGCAATCAGAACCATGTCTTTACTGAGAATGAGCTCTGTCGTGTTTACGTGCTATCTGGGAATAAAAGGAGGAGCTTCATTCTGAGTGTTATGCTCTAACTTGCTAATTTTTGTGTCTGTATTTGAAAATAAGTGCTGAATAAGATTTGGAGCTCCACAAACATTCAGACAATTACACACTGAACCTTTGAGTTTCTACACAATTATATATTCAGCCCAATCAAAATATTCTTGTGTTGTAAAAAATATGTAATATTCCATTAAATATTCCATATCCTCCTAAATATTTATCAAAATATCAGGACGTGTTTTCCTCAATGTTCCTGCTGTTAGATAATATTTCAGTTTTCCTGACAGGTTCTAGGAGACCACGTGGAAGCACAGTCATTTGTATGCTGTGAATGTTTTTCTGAAGCATGAGTCTGCTGTGCTGCATTCAATAGACATTAGAACTAGTAGATGGAACTTTATAGTGCAAGAGACAAGCACAAGGAAAATAAAAGGAAATGAATAGTTTGAAACCGTTAGGGTTTTATATATTTAGGGATTTGTTGTTTATTATTTAGAATCTGTGCTCTTGTATTTCTTTTGCTGTTTCATCTCTTCCTGATGAATAAAGCAGTCTCACAAAACTCTCACACAGTCTATTGTAAATTCAAATAAAAGAGCCATAGAGTTGCATTTAATCAGGCTTAGCTGCTTAACTCTTAACAGAGAACAAAATTAGGGCAAAGGTTGACCAACTCTTTTGACAAATAATTTCAATATATTTGCCTGACCAGCACTATATAAATTGCGCTATTTTTCACTTAGTGGTCTTTTTAAAATAACAGATACAATTTTACACTTTACATGTAAAAACGTACTATAAATACAGCATGGTAGAAATATTTTTGGTAAACAGTAGATTTTGAATATAGTTTTGAGCATTGAGGAAATAACTGAACTGCACATTGAGATTGCTGTTACACTGACCATATGCTGTTTCTAAGATCTTTCTAAGAAAGAAACGAAATACCCTCAACCCCCAAACTTGTTTATAGAGGTCTTGTACAGTCACGAAAACAAAAGGGAGGAGAAAGAATAAGGCACTAATGTCAGGCTCTTAAGGTGGACTCTCTTAAATGCTACAAAACTGGATTGTCTGCCTGGAATACAGGTCAACTTACCCCTTAATTGTTCGTTTTCTTTATGCAGGCCAGGCCATCGAGAGAAGAAACAATTGCCTCTGCTCGTATTCACCAACTAAATCTGTATTACTTATTACAGCAAGAAACAAAGCGAAATAATTTGCCCGTGACTGACAAAAAGAGTAACTGGTTTAGCACGTTGAACTCGATTCACGTCGTGGATGATTCCTGAGCGAATCGTTCTTTTGAATCGGATCTTTAGGAGTGAACAAAGGATTTGACTAATGAAGCGAAAATACGGTTACTTGAACGAATCTAAACCAGAAATGTAGCAGACAATACAAATAAAACATACTGGAAATGTGTTGGCGAGCCAGCTGCATGGTAGTTTCATCACGATGCAAAGAAGGTTCTTTGAAATGAATCGTTCAAAAGAATCGATTCGCGGAAACTAGCCTGAAAATGGGTCTATGGTTTTGTGCTGCTCACCCTTAAAAGTGGGCGGAGAAATGTAGGCACGCGACTCGTATAAAAAGCTGGCTTGACCGTCACTGTGAATACAGACATGACCAAAACCATCGAACACCAGCAGGATATTTCTTATCTATCGCAGATAATTTAAACGAAGTTTCCCCTCATTATTCTGTTGCAGTTGGGTAAGATCGGTTTTGTTTCAAATAAATGTATGTAACGTTAATTCTTAAATTTCCCGGTGTTCTTGATATTTGCGGGTATCACGAGCCGTACTTTTATGTTTATTCATATTTAGAAGTACTATTACATTGGTATGTTTTTGATTTAACTTGTTTATGATTCGGTAACATTTATTCGCTCTTAATTGAGCTTGAATGAGTCAGTGAACAGGCGCAAACAGAACTGGACCAATCCGGTTTACAAAATGTCCTTCAACCATACAACAACGTTGAAGGTACTTTTATAAACTACAGATTTAAACGAATCGTTCGTGTAATATACAGTTAATGCTTTTAAATGTTCTATTTAGGCATTCGTCTTAATAGAACAGTTTTTTTTAATTAAATAGATTCGACGAGGATAGATCTGGTGATCTGGCACCCGGCATTTGGTTGCTATGTCTACGCTCGTTGAAGGTTTAAGCTGGATTAACTGGGTTTTAATAACAGAGCCCAAATCTTTTTAGAAAGCCAAATGCATCTCGTATACTCGTGTCATTCGGGGTATTAGTACATCCGTTATAACTTTTTTTTAAATAGTCATCTCCGCGTGAAAGATTTTAGGTGATGCAACCTTCAGTGTATCTTGCCAGACCGTGTCTTGCCCATGACGTCAAACATATGTTTCCTGAACTCTTAATTCTGGTGCCGTGCCCAATTTGGGTGTGACCTTGGCTCCTATATATTCGATTCTGCCAATGTTACTTATTCTTTCAGTCTAAAAGACATTATTTTTTATTATATTGATGATAAAAATAGACCCCTAGAGTACATTGCTAATTTCTTTATTTTATATGGCAAATTCTTTATTCATAAACAAAAGTTTGCAAATAATATTCCATCCTATCCCCATTTTAAAACTGAATTAATATCACTTCTTAAATCTCTTAGTTATATAAATAACAAAAAATCCCTAAGATTTATAAAATATTATGAAGAAATGTTTAAAGAAAATACATGTATTTAAAAGCTTTCCCAGTATATTAATGTTTGTCTGTTGTTGTACCAATAGTGGTAATGTATGCATTCTTGTGTCTCCTTGTCTTGTCATCTTTTGTTTTTCATTGTTTTTTGTATAATCCTTGTTTTTTTTTTTTTCTCTCTCTCTCTGTTTTATGTATTTGTATGTAATTCATGTTGTAAAACAATGTTATTGCTATTGAGCATTAATAAAAAAAAAAAAATCTGGTGCCGTGCCGATAGTTATGTGCTTGCAGCTAATCTAGTTCCTTTTGTTTTCAGGACTGTTGACATAAACTAACAAAATGAGCAACGATACTGAAGTGGGTATGAAAGATGTGGAGCTCAATGAGGTGGAGCAGGAGAAGCAGCCCATGACAGAGGGGGAAGCTGGAAATAATTATGCTATCTCGCCTGTATCCGAGAAGAATGGCATTGTAAAGGTGAAGATTCCAGATGAGGAGAGCAAATTCACTGGGTTATCCAAAGAAGAACTCATGAAAGTAGCTGGAACACCAGGGTACGGAACGCACCTGTGGTGAAACCTTATTTTCTTTCGGTTAGATCTTGGTGTGGATTTTGCTGTTCGTAGGTACTAATGTTCTACCTCTAATCCCTGGTGTTTTTTTTTTTTTTCTTGAATAGGTGGGTTAAGGTTCGTTGGGCACTTCTTATCCTGTTCTGGCTTGGTTGGCTGGGCATGCTAGCTGGTGCGATTGCCATCATTATTCAAGCTCCTCGATGCAAACCCCTCCCTGAGATGAACTGGTGGAACTATGGACCACTGTACCAGATTGGAGATGTGAACTCCTTTACAAAGTCTTCAGATCTGAAAGGTAAAGACAGATGACTCAATGGACCAACATCCAAGCAACCAAAATAGATCTTATGGGAAGGAGGGAGTGTTAATGGATTGCAGGGATGGGTTAGTTTAGGGATTAAAGGCGGATGTCAGGCTTTAAACATGTTCAAACACATTAGTTGTTCTGTCCTTATGCTGCTGATTCGACAAATCTGGTTTCCTCCCTTATCCACTTGCATGCCATCCTGTTTGCTCCGCTCGTATATCAGTCTGCGGACTATATTAAAGGAATATCATTGATTTTAAAGGAAGGGTGGCAGAATGTCTTGTAATGCATATATTTAAAAAAAATAATGTGAGGTACAATGAAGTCCGTATTAACATGGATGTGGTCCATGATCCGAAACATTCCACATTTATTTCCTTTTTGTCTTTAATATTTTGCAATATTGCGTATTTTTCACTCTGACTGGTTACCCCTCAGGTTTGGCTGAAAAGGTTCAGGCGATGGATGAGTTGAAGGTGAAGGGTCTGATCATTGGCCCGATCCATGTGTCCAGTGCCGATGAGCCTGAGGAACTGAAATTGACTGAGATTTCTAAAGAGGCTGGTAATCTGATACAGTTTCAAGAACTCATTAAGGCTGCACACAAGAGAGGTGAGCTATAGTTTGCACTATAAAATGAAGCATTTTCTACTTGTTATCTTGTTTTTGTTTTTTAACTAAAAGGACTGGTAGTTTAACTAAAGCAGGTCTGATTCACTGTCTGGATTTAAATAAGCAAAATGTTGCAAAACATATATCAGAAATGTATTAATCACTGCAATAATGATCCAATGATCCAGGCAGTGTATAATCAAATAATTGCTGTTTCTTTTTATCAATAGATAGTTCCACAAAAAAGCAGCACTAGCAGTGCAGCACTATATACAACATTATTTTTTTTTTATTAAATGTATTTTTGTTCACTTCTAGGTATCTCTGTTGTTTTGGACCTGACCCCTAACTATAAAGGCAAAGAGCCCTGGTTTACTGATGCTGTCAGCACTGTGGTCAAACTTGAGGTATGACCTTGACTGTGAACAATAGATCTGGATAATTTCTTAACTAACTTAATCTACGTTGTCACTTGAACTTGATTTGTGCACTTGTGTTTTCAGAGTAATAATTGTGACTTGTGTTTGCAGTCTGCTCTGATGCATTGGCTAGGAGAAGGTGTAGATGGATTCCTCTTCTACGGCGTTGAGAAGGCTTCCACTGCAGCCCCGTCCCTTTGGGAGGATGTTGAAGTCCTTATCCACAACCAGACGGAATCTGTGGAAAAAAAGAAAAAGTGAGAAATCGATAGTTGAACTTTTACTCTTTAATTTCATTAGTGGACTCATACACTCTTTTGTGAGGTAAAGGAGCCACCTTGTGGTGGTTGGAGCAACTTTTACAAACTGAACTCCAGTCAAGGGGACACTAGTGGGCCGTTTCTTTGTTTGAGATTGTGTTGCCAACCAAACCGCTCCATATGGTACTTATATTAATTATATCAATACTTGTATTAAACACTGACTTTTACTGACTTTTTTTCCTTCCAGGGTCTTGATTGGTGTTACGGAACAGACCTCTCCTGATGATGTCATTGCTGTGTTAAACAAAACTGGTGTGGACCTGCTCCTCACTGATGCTTTAAGATCCACATCTGCTCTGGACGTTGCCCATACTGTTGATCGCTTGTATTCCACTTACGGTCAGACCAGACTGGCTTGGAACATAGGTGGGCGTATTGCTGGACACCTGGCTTCACTGGTGGGGTTTGCCAAAGTCAAGTTGAGTTACCTGCTGCTGCTCACTCTGCCAGGCACACCAGTGTTTAATTATGGGGATGAGATTGGACTGCAAGATGAGGTGTGTGAACTTAAGGTTTTTATCAAGAGAATTCACACAGATCCAGGTGTTTTCCAAGAGCAGATCCTAAAATGTTGTTATCCTTCCATTTAGGTGACCAAAAACCCGACCATGGTATGGGAAGACTCTCAAGAAAATCTGACAGTGGTAAGGAGCATATGCACACAGTGCTGAATCTCCAAAGTGACCCTATTCAATGTTGTGACTAGCAGCTTTAGTTACATTTTCATGTTTTGCTTTACAGAGCAAGATGGATGAAACAACCACTTTCCGTAAGTTCTTCAAATCTGTGAGTGAAAAAAGGTCGAAAGAGCGCTCTTTGCAGCACGGAGAATACTTGCCTTTGTTCAACTCTACCTCCGCCATGGCCTATGTGCGAAGCTGGGACCAGAATGAGCGCTACATTATTGCACTCAACTGGCACTTGGAAGAAACTGTCACTCTTCAGCTAAAGCATGCTGAGATTCCTGAACATGCTACAGTAGTGTTCAGTACTAGTGATGGTAAACAAGTTGATGAAGTGCTTAACCTTGCACAACTAGAGGTGAAGCCAGGACAGGGTATAATGCTGAAGTTCCCTTACACTCCCTGAAGACGTTGTAAACTCTCAGTTAGTGTGAGGATGTTGATTTTACAAGTGTTTGTTTGGCCGTTCTGTTACACTATTAATCCTTTAGTACAAAAACACTGGCATATATCATCACATTGTACTGTTACATGCATCACATGCACTACATGACTACTAAACTGAACTTTTAAGTTGGTAGTTTTATTTTATGCTGTTACTTGGAATACATTCCATAGGAAGAAAAATTTGTTTTTATTTTGAACCTTATGTTTTTAATGTAGTGCAATTCTAAACACAAATGTTCAACTTCAATGGCTGTTACTTTATATGTAATGGGGAAAAAGATGTTGACAATAAATTAAGTGGCGCAGTTCATCTTTGTTGGATTTATTCAGGTGGGGTTCCCTCGTCTATTTTCATAAGTGTTGCCAGCATAATGAGATGTAACGGAGACATGGCTGAATTATTAAAATCTACCGCCATAAAATGGAGCACCTCTCATTGTCTCCAGCATAGCATGATATCAGGTGTCTCTACTGATGACTTCTTTATTTAGAGCTATTCATTATGCATATGGAGAGCTCAGTCTCACCTGGCTATTTTAACTCATTACAGATTTATGAACCCCTACTGAGATCGGCTCAGTACCTAAGAGTGATGAGGGAAATTGTATCAAGTGTGTATGATGTCTGAAAGAATGGACCTAATCATCACAAGAAACAACTGTACAGTTTAGATGTAAAAGGAAGTAAAAAAAAAAAAGATACATATTTTAAACCTTTCTGATGAATGAGTTTCCTCTGTGTCCTCTACCTTTTTACAACAAACTTTTCTAGGTCAATTACTCATTTGGGACCACAAACCTGACCAAGAACCTCTACTTTTAGGCAATGCGCCATGGTCTCTTCTAACCTAAGGGCGTTGGAGTTAAACACTTTATTTCTCTAAACAACATATTCAAAATCAATGTATTGACCATAAAAAAGACGTAATTACTACAGCAGACTCTTTCTCTACCATGCTGCCAGTGTTGCATCTGCAGCACTATATGCACTAGTAAGTTTCCTGTGTCTGTCTCTTTAAGAACTGCTCTCTTCGAGGACCCGCATTGCAGGTGGCTGAAAACCAATCAAAAGACATTTCCTAGGTCAGCTGACGAGTGCCATCAGACTTCTATATAAAAACTCTCCGGACCGTCCATTCAAACGTGAAAGCCACCGTTCTATGCTATGGCTTTTGAAAAGAATAACCCCAAAATTGAAATTTACAGTCGATAAACAACGCCGTATAATATATCGGTTATATAAACGAAAACGAAACAGTTTCACTGTGCCATTTAGACTACTGAACATTTCGACTACGTGGCGGAGGAAGACCATAGTAACAGCTTTGTTGTCAAGGAGTGCGACGTCCCACTTTGGACCGAAGTACCAAGGCGCAGTGATATTGAAATTTGGGCGCACAGCAGCAGAAGATAGTGCTTGACAATTGCACGGGTGGAAAGCAAACGTTTGGGTTTTCGTTTATTTCCTGTACGTACAGACTAACGTAGTTCACACTAAAATACAATGGTAAGTTACTTTATTACTCTTTATCCTAATTGCTAAAGTGCAGCGTAGCTACAAAAATGTCTGAGCGTCCATGGCGAAGTGATAGGTGTGAATGGGCTACTGTTAGCCTAGCTCCTCGCGAGCTAACCGTCATTCTATTGAAAGCGCGCGAGCTCCCGGGCTAACGTCACATGAACGGGTTACACACAGTTTTCACATTGTAGAATAAACAGCTTTATCGCTTTATGTGTGACATTTTGCAGCGCATGCTCTAATCGCAAATGGGCGTGAGATGTTTACAGCATAAAATGCGCTATACTAGCACATCCTTGACTGATTCCGTTGCTAGCTCGCCTCATGTTGGCGTCAGTAGACAGCAGCTTGAAAAGCATCGATGATAGATGTAACGTTAGAGATCGCCCTCATTTACATTAGACAAAACCTGCGTCGTCCCTTGTGAAAAAATAGCCCTGGCTTTTTCTAATATATCTGATCGGTCACAATATGCTTGTAGTTCCTCACAGCATGCGCACTATTCCATTCAGCTGCTCTTTAAGTAAACCACATTATGGACCAATAAGACAACACGTATGTTAATGCGGTCAAATACAGCAGGATAGTCTGCCTTTAAAGCGTTTTGTACATTTCTAATTCACAACGCCAGAGCTAGGCGTTGTAGTCATGAATTACATCATCAGACTTGTAAAACACAATGTATCAGGTGTTAAACACGTTCCGTTCAGTTTAACACGCAATAAATACAACTGAGCTATAGACTGATTTGAAACATTTGAAAATATGCCAGTGCTATTAAAATAATTACTCTTTTCTTTTTGTGTCCTTCCTATAGGCTGATCAGCTAACAGAGGAGCAGATTGCTGGTATGCAAGATTAACCTTTGCTTCAAACCTTTATCTTAAACCAGCAATTCGATGATGTGCAATAAATGAACACATTATTGTTATTATTATTATTATTATTATTATTTATTTTTGTCAGAATTCAAGGAGGCCTTCTCCTTATTTGACAAAGACGGTGATGGCACCATCACTACTAAAGAGTTGGGGACTGTCATGCGGTCTTTGGGCCAGAATCCTACAGAGGCAGAGCTTCAGGATATGATCAATGAAGTTGATGCTGATGGTGAGGAAGCCCTTCCACAAATAATGCCGTGTTACAATAGTTCTTCTCTTTTTCTAAATCTGTTGGCTTTTTCCCGCCCTTCAGGCAATGGAACGATTGATTTCCCAGAGTTCCTTACAATGATGGCCAGGAAGATGAAGGACACGGATAGTGAGGAGGAGATCAGAGAAGCATTCAGAGTTTTTGATAAGGTATAGAAGTGTACTTGCTTATAAATGCTTCTTATTGAAGATATTTCTTTGGGAAAAAAAAATGTGGAAAGAATGTTCATCTGTCGCAATGACTAATGCTTTACAGGATGGAAATGGCTATATCAGTGCAGCAGAGTTGCGTCATGTCATGACAAATCTGGGGGAGAAGCTTACAGACGAGGAAGTGGATGAGATGATCCGGGAGGCAGATATTGATGGTGATGGTCAGGTCAACTATGAAGGTATTTCCATATATTAATGTAATTTAATGCATTTTTTATATGTAAATGGATATTTTGTCTGAATAAACGCCAAGCTTGTGTTTAAGGAGATTAAGAACAAACCAGACATTTCTTAAAAAAGACACCAAGAAAGGCTTTAGTTGTAGTTTGTTCCCTGCAGAATAATTGTGAAATCAGTTTGTGAAGATTTGCAGGTTGATCTCATTACATTTTTTTTTTCTCTACAGAGTTTGTCCAGATGATGACAGCAAAGTAAAAACTGGAAACCAAAAGGAGCACAACAGACCAAACAGTGGGCAGCACTCTCACTGTCAACCTTCAACAAGCATTCACAACCCAATCTCTTACTCCTCCCCATTTAGTTTTGCTCTCCTTCACTTTCCCTTATTTTGATCAGTCCTCTACTCTGCTTGTTTTTCCAACATGATCTCCTGTCAGCTTTTTCCCTATGTTATCTGGTTTTCTTTGGAAGAAAATATTTACATGCACAACAAAGTTTAAACCTTGCATATATGATGGTTATGATAACAGCAGTGTAACACATGTATCAATATTTTAAAGATTGTGACATACTATATGGACAAGAGCAATGCATGCTTTATTTACGTTTGGCATGTTTGTGTTTTTTCTTTTCTTTTTTTCTTCCCAGCTTGCCTCTTTTTCTAACTTGCTAGTTCTCCTTTAACTGCATGTTTCTCATGCAACCTCTGCTCAGTGGTCTTAGAACTGTATGGTGAATAACCATTCATGGTTAATCAGGGGCTTTATATAACAAAATGGCTCAAACTTCCATGTCATAGGGTGATTGTTTTTGTAAGTATAGATCTGTGTGTCTGAGTGAGTGCTTGTAGTTGTATTTAAAGTGGAGCCACGAAGTACAGTTTACGTTTTGGTATAGGGCTTGTTCTTTAGAGACTGCATAACTAACGTGAAAGGTAAAAAAAGAAAATTAGACAAACCTGTGTAGAATAATCCGGAAATGGTTAATTGGGGACCAATTATTTCAGTTAGTTAGTTTGCTTGTTTGCCCCTTTTTGTATTATTTGAGAGAAACATGGTGGAAAGGCTTTGACCTTCTTTCCAACTTTTGGCATTTCCTCACTAATTTCACTACCGCAAAGCAAATGCCACCTATTTGTTCTAGACTGGTGTAGAGAGGTTTAATGTTTGGTTTGAGCTCTATTAGTGTGGAGTTTGTACTGAAGATGTAGAATAGTTTTCACCTTAATCTTCAGTCTTACATTTTGATGCTGCACTCGATGTCCTAGTCAGTGGACCATTTCTGTCTGGGGAAAAATATTACATTTAAGCTGTGTGTTGGTTCTTCCTGCAGGCTGTTCAATATATTTGTATACATCAAAAACACCTGCATTTTATGATCTTTTTAGGATCTTTTCTCATAGAAACAACAGCATGTTCTCCTCTTCCATGGTCCTGTAGTTGTGGTCCATGCACAGTGGCAATTGAGATGGTGCGAAATGCTTGTCGTCCAGTTAGACTGTGTCTGCCATGTTGGTCCAGCAACTGCTGCCATGAAACCTGCGACTGCAGGCGCTTTGAATGAAATCCATTTTTTGTAACTGTATAGACCAAGGTTAAACAAAACATCGCTTAATGGTAGAATCACATACATTATGGTGGTATTATTGCATCTTCTGCCCCAGGTCTTAATTTATTCTACTGTTGTTTTCTTTTTTTATGATCTTTATATGCTGTTTTTTTTTTTCGTTCTGAGATCTGAGTTTACTGTCTGGTTCTTTTTTCCTCTCTCTTCTTCTGCCCATAAGGTAGTAAAAAATGAAAGGTTATGCATTCCATTGCATAACTCTGGTTTTCTTGCTAAATAAACGTCTTGGACCTCTGTTTCTAAATGACCTCTTTTTGTTCATAACACTGTTGCCTATATAACTGTAAACCTGCATAGGCTTATATTAAAAAATAGTGTAAGAGAGACAGAAAAGTGCATTTAATGTATATCTATTGGGTTTATTGTCATTTGTTTGCACAAGGCAATATTAGGCTGTTTTATCATTTTGAATTGCATTTTTAGTCCAATTAAGAACCACAGTGCCCACAGCATATCACCTAAAAACACATTACATAAAGTATAAGGTCTGCACATATTACAAACAAAACCGTTAAGAGATATTTTCTGAACTTCTGAAGTCCATTATCCGTTTGTAGTTTTGTCCCGCCGTGAAACTACAACACCCAAGTACTGTATGGCTTCCCCAAATGTCCAGTAGCGGTTCCTGTACAGAGCCGTTGCTGATTGACGTGACGCAGAACGAGTAATTTACTGCCGATTTCAGCGGCAACCAATCACTTCAATGACAAGTGAGACGTGGGCGGGGACGCCTCACCAATCGCCAATAGTTTAGCAGCATACAGATGGGTGGATTATTGATTCAAGAAAAATGTTGCAACGGGCCAAATAATAAAGAGAGTGTAAAGTGATTTGGGGCAGGACAAGCCAACTTCGACGATCTGAACACACACTACTGCGCACAGTTCAACGTCTAACAGGAAATCTGGACCCATCGGCCACGGTATGACACACTGTCAGATGATGTAAATAAGCGAGTTCGGGCCAAGCGCATTTAGTTACTTCACTACGTATCCACGCTTGCGACGTACAATTGATATTCACTGAACTTACTCATCGAGGTTTTTACGTCTTCACGTTCCTTCAAGGAACAGGATTGGACACCAGAACGCAACTGCTGTGAGTCAAGAATAAGAAGGTAAGACTGCATGCTCGCATGTAATGCGTTCATCAGATCAGATGATGTACGTTTTTTGAGACTGCTGTCGTAATCTGTTATATTGCATGTATGATGTGCACAAGTTGCTGGCCTACTAAACATTAGTTGCATGATGTGTAAACTTGATCATAAGTGCATTTATTTTCAATGAACAGACAGCCGTGGCTTCTGCAGTAAACATTTATGAAACAGGGATAGAGTTTGTTTTTGAAGTCGTGCAGTATGCGGCCAAAGGGCATGCTTTCCTGTTTGTTAACGCATGTGCCAACTGGATGAATGAAACTGGACAAGCTGTAGGGTTTAGCTCACTTGATTGACCTATAAACTATTCGCTGCCACATAGCCAAACATAAACACTTCATTGCTGCAAGTCAGTTTAAAAAGCAAAGCAGCAGCTTGCTAATGGAAAAGTGGTTATTCATTGCGCTGCAGCTTCAGGTTCAAGTTGGCAGCTGTCGATGGCATTTCAACGTTCATCTGCCCAGTCCAATCCAATCACGACAGTGTCAAAAATGTCTAGGGATGCCTATGTTTTTATTTGTGCAGTTTACTTGGGCACAGCCAATATTTATAACACTTTGCGTCATTTTGCGTTCTACGTAATCAAGGTATCTTGTCATTCTCGAAAACACACAAATTTATAGTTTAAAAGTGCACTCAGTATTTGTTGCTTATTAAAAAGTTTTACAAATAAAGAATTAAACAGTGATTTAGTCATTAATAACCTGATTTTCTCTACATGGAGCGGGTCGCCCTCTCATGGGCACCGGCATGTCATGCAATCAGCCGACCCTCAACAACACACATAAAACAATTTTGGATTATGATAGCACTAATATGTGCATGATATGGAGGTGTGTAGCATATCACGAACGAAAAGGAGCAAAGCAAAAAGCTTCGGTGTTAAACGGTAGCAGTCAACAGACTGCATTCAGGCCGATAGGTGTTAGTAAAGTCTAAAACCTCTGGTAATATTGGGACATATAAGAGATAAACGTAAACAAAAACCTACTGTGTGTGTGCACCTTTAAGTTTGCATATTTAAATTTGTATTATAAATTTAACTTCTTTTATTATATTATTCTATTAAAAATATTTGATTTTCTGACTGATACAAGAAGTGCGAAGTCAAAGGTTGACTTGGGAATGAAGGTAATGTCTGTTTTGTGAGACTTGTCAGTTATGATTCCCCATCAGAAGTGTTTAAAACATGCCTGTTAAAGAAGGCCCTGTTTTAATCTTACCTTGAATTGTTGTCGGCTCATTCAAGATAAAGCATGCAAAGCTTTTTTTAAATATGTTTTGATTTCTTTTATTGACACATCAACCACGAGCCTTTTATTTGTGGAAGGAACCAGATTACAAATATTGGGAAATCTTTATCTTGTTTATGGCAAAGTTGCATTGGTTACCTGAATGGCATGCATGAACAGAATTGTTGGAGGTTGAAGGAGGAAGTTGGCTGAATTTTTATTTTATTATTATTATTTTTTGTCTTTTTAAAAAATAGGATAAACCATATCTCTTTTATAAAAGGTTATTGTGCAGCTGGTATGTAAATTCATGTCCAGTTTAAAAATATTTTTGATGGGTTGAGCAGCTTCAGCAGTCTGACTCTTAAAGGGATACTCCACCCCAAAATGAAAATTTTGTCATTAATCACTTACCCCTATGTCATTCCAAACCCGTAAAAGTTTCGTTCGTCTTCGGAACACAATTTAAGATATTTTGGATGAAAACCGGGAGGCTTGTGACTGTCCCATTGCCTGCCAAGTAAATTACACTGTCAAGGTCCAGAAAAGTATGAAAGACATCGTCAGAATAGTCCAGGGCTGTCCAAACTCGGTCCTGGAGGGCCGGAGGGCCGGAGGGCCAGAGTTTAGCTCCAACCCTAATTAAACACACCTGAACCAGCTAATCAAGCTCTTACTAGGCATAGAAACTTCCAGTCAGGTGTGTTGAGGCAAGTTGGAGCTAAACTCTGCAGGACACCGGCCCTCCAGGAACACACATTTACATTTACACAACAATGATATACAGTTTCTCTTATGTAAATAAACTTGATGTCCATAAACATTTTTTTTTCTAAGTTCAACATGATCTACTGCAATTTTACAGCTATGCTGTTGTCACTGCAATAAAATATGAAGTTAGAAGTTCTTGGATTTGCTCTTGGTCACATTATCATAATAAGAGAATCACTCCTGATTCATATTTTTGTTATATATTAAACACAGTAACAACACTGAACATGCGTTATGAAAAGCAGCAGGTGTCTGATCAGTGGCGGCGTTTCACAAAACCATAGGGTATGGTGGTGGGGGGGGGTGGGGGTCACAGTTTTGATAAATAAAAAATCCAACGGCACAACATTAAGCACAGAAATATAGGAAAAAAAGATAGAAAGGGATAACGTTTAAACATCATCAGAGTTGGTATTGTGGCTTTATCAGACACTTGCACTTAACATTTTATGAAAATCAAGATCAAATGGAGTTAGTTTTTGACCAGTGAGTGACCAACATAAAGCACAGAAATATAGGAAAAAAGATAGAAAGGGATAACGTTTAAACGTAGTCAGAGTTGGTATTGTGGCTTTATCAGACACTTGCACTTAACATTTTATGAAAATCAAGATCAAATGGAGTTAGTTTTTTACCAGCGAATGACGGAAGTCTGTGTTTTGTCTGTCATTAGAACAGCTGTAACTGAGGCAGCAAGTGCATCACATTAAACGCTTTCATCAACTTACAGGTTATACATTTTATTGTAGCTATATGGGTGCTATAGTTTTTCTTGTCGTTTAATACACTTGGCCAAAATATCATGAAACGATGAAGCGCTATATGCACAGGATATTTAAAATGTACAAAAGTATATGGCTACAACTAGACGTCAAAAGCTAAGACTCTTCTCCTCTCTTCAAACACACAAAAACATTGACCTTTATAGACAGTGTTTGAATAAACAAAACGCTGTACTTTTTCCAAACATCAGAGTTATTTATTTACCCTTACATTGCGAACAAGCGGAGATCTGGCTCCAGGCTGTGCATGGCACGTCAATCTGAATGGAGGCGGGGCGAAGTTATGAGGTTTCGCTGACAGTTTGAGAATGGCGTTACGAGCTTTAGTGACAAGCTCTTTTAAATGCTTTTCATTGGATAAATATTTGTAAAACCCTCAAACAGACACAAGGAAGACCAGTAGCATTGATTTAAAATAATAATAACGAAATATAATAGAGATATGAAGTTTGGATAATTTTCCAAAATGTTGAAAGTTTAAACATTGGATTGGCCTTATGTTTGCGTGTAACAGGCAAATTAATTCATTTTGTCTGTTGCTTTAATGAGTAATAAAGGTTTAGTAGATTGAATACGAAAAGAGGCAGTTGTTTTTTCTCTATTGTAAATGCAAATGAATGGCCTTGTGTTCTCACAGCATAAATCGGGCTGTGAGTGAGTTTGTAAGTTGATCTATTAAGGTTTTCTTTTGAGTAGAGTACAATTATTTTTTTTATAGACAAAGACCACAGGCTGTGCCAACATACTCTGGATTAAAGGTTTCATCTGAATGGTTCAGTAAACCTCTCAAAGCCACCTGCTTCCATCCAGTCAGGAAGATATGATCATTTTGCTACCAAATCACACCAACTCACCCCTCACTGTTTTACATGCCCCATTACACATGCTGAATGCCAACCAGTACATTGCCCCATCTCCATACTGTCCTAAACTCTCACACAAATGTGCTGCTATTGTTTACAGCAGCTTCAGTTTGTGTCTCCGCCGTGGAGCTCGTGTGTCAGTGTCATGTTCTCTCTCAGCCAGGACACAGACGTTGTATTGTTGTGATTTTGGCAGAGGGATGTCCCTTATTTAAGAGCAGACAAGTTTAAGGAACAGTTGAACCACTCAGTAACCACAGAATAGTTTGAGTGAAATGAGACCCCTTAAATGTGCTTCCATAAGAAATCAGCCTGAACTTTTCTTAAGCAATTTTGTGTTTTGCAGATTCGATATGAATGTATGTTATTTCTTTTGTTTTTCCTCTGCCCTTTCATCTGAGGGGCCATATACGCTGTACAAATACCTTTCCTCTGAAGTAGGTAGACCTTTGAGCACGGTTTTGCAATATCCCCTTAGTTATCAAATGCATGTGTTCTTTAGGAAGTTGGCAAATATGAACTACATGCGTTCAATGAACGAAGTGTTCTTTTTTTTGAATGAATCGATTTTAAAGCATTGATTTTTCAACTGGTTTTGCGTCAGTACATTGGACGCCATTTGACCCATCACAGTACCAGGATGGTTTATTTAAAAAGAAAAAAAAGTAAACAAAATGTTCCTAAACATGAGAATTTAATAGTGTCCCCGTGGACTGCATAGTTCAAACAGCAAGCAAAATTATTAACATGAAATGGGATGAATAGAGAAATCAAAAATGTATGTCTAATACATAATGAAGTACGAACTTTGGGTCAAATGGTGTTTTAGGAATGCATGTTATATTGTTACACACTCTCAGAAAAAAAGGTACAAAAGCTGTCACTGGGGCGGTACCTTTTCAAAAGGTACACTTTTGTAAATTTGAGGTAATATGTACACTTTAGGTACTAATATGGACTCTTTAGATACAAAGGTGTGCCTTTTGAAAAGGTACCGCCCCAGTGACAGCTTTTGTACCTTTTTTTCTGAGAGTGCAGTATTAGTATTTGCCAACATAAGATATTTGCATGTACATGTTCAGTTTTCTTAATTTTAGATAATTTAGTAACAATGTTAAAGGAATTAGTTCACCCAAAAACAAAAAGCTGCTGAAAATGTACTCGCCCTCAGGCCATCCAAAATGTAGATGAGTGTGTTTCTTCATTGGAACAGACTTGGAGAAGTTTAGCATTACATCACTTGCTCACCAGTGGATCCTCTGCAGTGAATGAATGCTGAGTCCAAACAGCTGATAAAAACATCATACAAGTAATCCACATCTGTTTCCTAAATGCATCTTATTGATCTTACTGTGTTCCCCCCCCACTCGGATCAGTCGGATATATGTCCCAATACGGAAATCACTAATTCTATTTCATTGTGACTTCAAATGTAATCTTCAACAAATCTCAAAATAAATATCCATGTTTATTTGGTGAGTTGCTGTGTTGTGGTGCCTAAATTCACTTGTTGCATTTAAAATGAATCTTGTATTTTAATTTATTTAGTCTAAATAGCATAATTCAATATAATATGCTATTTTAGCATATGCTATTATAGTTGTATTTTATTATATGCATTTAACTTTTTTTGTTTGTTGCTGTTTTAAAGAACGTTAGTTGTCTTTCAGAGTGGATTAGAAATTGTTTGTTACTGTGCAGTTAGTAGTTTTCTTTGAATATAAGTGAGAGCACACTGGATGCACTGATGGTTTTTGCCTTGTGATACCTGAATAGTAGTAGATTAGCCAAGTGAGCTATTTTAATTTTGATTGCGCACACATCATGTTTCGATTTAGTCATGCGCTTTCATTCGATTTTTAACTTAAATCTCCTTTTATTGTCTATTTCATAGGCTATTCTGGCTTTGTCTCCTGTCTCCTCATAGTCTCTCTGATCCTTCAGTGTTTCCCACTGAGTTTAATCAGCACTGCTGTTGTTTCAGGTGTTTAGTCTCGGCCTTTTAAGCTGTGTGCATAGGCAATATGATATTGTGTTTTGTTCAGTTTGGCCCTGTGGGCACTAGAATGTATTCATGTTTTGCAGCGGTATGTGGATATACTTGAAATACAGCATTTTTTTTAAAAGACAGCCTTTAGAATCTTCTCACAGAGTAGAGGCCAGTATTGCCCAATTGCTTGTTGATAGTTTATTTGTTTGTCGTCACATTTTGCAGCACTCATTTGTACTAGATCAGGCTTGTTTTCTTGTTGTCTCATGCATATTTATCCCTGACCTCACTTTCCCTTTAGTTTGAGCGTTGACTCTTATCTCCATATAAGCAGTAGCTCGGCTCCTGTGAGAAACACTGCAAGGCTACTAATCATTTTGGTTCTTTAGAAATGCAGATAACACTCAGTAGACTAAAAATGAGCTTTTTGTAACACGTCTATCTTTGCTCTCGCTTACTAGATGCTGCTACAGGTGGGAGGAAAGCGCTCTGCCCTGGGCCTGTTGGCCATCAGGAGGGTGTGGAGTATGACCCGCTCCGCCCATACCGCACCCCAGACACTGGAATACAAACCCATCAAAAAGGTCATGGTGGCCAACAGAGGTGCGTCAGTGTTCAGAATGGACTACGAACATATTGCGTACTGCATGCTGTGCTGTATATACTCAGTGTTGCCAACTTAGCAATTTTGTTGCTAAATTTAGCAACTTTTCAGACTACCCTAGCAACTTTTTCTTCCAAAAGCACCTAGCAACAAATTTAGCTATTTTTAAAATTTATTTGGCAACTTTTAGCAACTTTTGGTAAGTGACTCAAACAATAAAAAGGCACAATTTACCATTTAAATTACACAAAAAGAGGAAACCAAAGATGCCTAGCAGTACACACATCACAGGAATTAAGTTAGCTGCTATTTGCAATAGTTTAATTTAATAGTAATAATAATTGAATAATTGAATACTGTTATTGTTCATTTATGAGACACTTTGTTAGTAGCTTGTACCTGCGATTGTTGATGAGTTAGTACACTGTAAGAAAAATGTGTAGAAAAATGGAAAAGGTGCTAGTAACTTTCCAGGACATTATCCATTATCCGTTGTAACCCTGTAGCCCGAAAACACAAAATACAATGTGTAATTAAAAATGCAGGTAAAAAAAACCTGTGGAAAAATCAATACAGAAAATTCCTTCATATTAACAGTAGATTGTGCACTATTTTTTTTACAGACTTTTCTTAGAGTGTAGCACACTAACTACTAATACACTGCTTTAAAGTATAATTGTTCAGAATGTGTAGTTTTACTTGTTTACCAGCTAATAATAAAAAAATGTAATTGTAATCGTTCAAAAATGTGTATGTTTTCGATAATTCGATGTATTTAAAAAGTTATTTATATTTTAATATTATATTATGCATTTATATGGCTACGAACAAATCTGAATTAACATACTGTATATAAAATATATGTTTTTGCTGAGATTTGACAATTTTGCGTCGTGATTACGTAATGACGTCATCGCGCAATGACATCACAACATCATTTAGCAACTTTTAGCAACAAATCAACCTTCCTTTAGCAACTTCCCCTGAAAATTAGTTGGCAACACTGTATATACTATGTGTATACTAAGCTTAATATAAAAAATTATGTGATACAGTTATTGAAACATTGATTTGACATTCACAAATTTGAGTATATACATTAATGGACATTTTTAGTATACATTTTTAATGTATATTTTTCTAACAACATGAATATATGTATTTTTGCTTCTTGTTATTAGACGGAATTTTGATGTCAGTGCATTTCTTAAAATAGCAGTATAGATGCCTTTAACTGCAGAAATCATAAAGGCAGTATGTTATTTGTGTCTCAGTCTCTCTGTCCTCCTCGGGTATAAAAACACATGGCGTGAATGAATTGTATACTCATGAATTGTATTTAATAAAATGCTTTTTGCAGGAGAGATTGCCATCCGGGTGTTCAGGGCCTGCACAGAGCTGGGGATCCGCACAGTGGCCATCTACTCTGAGCAGGACACGGGCCAGATGCACAGACAAAAGGCAGATGAAGCTTACCTCATCGGGAAGGGGCTGCCACCTGTAGCAGCCTACCTACATATACCAGACATCATCAAAGTGGCCAAGGTCAGACTTTGCACCTGAGTGGTTTTCTGTAAATCTATTGCACCATAATTCAGATTTCTTCATGCCATTTTTCACTGGCCCCAAACACAAAAAATGATACATTTACATTTGTAATGTTATATTTGCAATTATAATATGACATTTCTAATTTAAAATTTATTATTTTTTTTTTTACATTTACACTACCATTCAAAAGTCTGGGGTGTGTGAAAAAAATGTTTGCAAAAAGTTTCTTATGCTCAACAAGGCTTCTTTTTTTTTTTTTTTTAAAGGAAACTGTAATATAGTGAAATATTACTACAATTTAAAATACCTTTTTTCCATTTTAATCAGCAGCCATTACTCCAATCTTCAGTGTCACATGATGCTTTCGAAATAATTCTAATATGCTGATTTGGTGCTCAGGAAATAATTTAAATAATAAAAAAAAAAAATGTATTATTATTATTATGCAGTATTGTTTTCTTTACAAATAAATGTTGCAGAAATAGCTGGAAATTATACAAATATTATAATTATGTAGCAGCAAGACAACAATATATTATATAAATAAAGTCACATAAATTATATTATTGAATGATTTGTAATTTTTGACCCATTCTTACTGATGCTTCCAAAACTCTCACAATTCATTTTTGCAGTTTCAATAAAAAGTCATCTACAATGGTCAGCCAGCGAGGTAATTTTATTAGAATTGGCAAATAGATGTCTCAGAAAACCATATGTTTGAGTTTTGCAGGGCAAAGCGTTCAGAGTCTGACGCCAAGAAGAGATGGTAATTTAGCTGTAAAATAATCATTGAGAGGCAGTCGTTCTCCCAAATCTCATTTTCTGATTAAATGCTTCAGGCAACAATCAATGGACAATCAGTCAGTCAATGGCTTAATCAGTAAATAAATCGATGGCTTTAAGGGCTTGTCAGTTTAACACTATGCCTTATGTGTCTTAGAAAATGACCCATGTTGTTAAGCACCTGAAACATTCCTAACCTCTTGCCGTGACTTGTTTAGAGAATTAAATCGGCTAACCTTGATTACTGGCTTATAAATAAAACATTTCAGTCAGTTGGGGAAGTTGGGCTGTATTCTTGGAGCCACTACTGCCTTTTAGCTGCTTACAGAAAGAGCTGTTTCTACAACATTTTATAAGGATTTCTTGATGAATAGAAAGTTCAGCAGAACCGCATTTATTTGAAATATAAATATTTCACTTTTGATCAATACAACGCATCCTTACTGAATACAAGTATTTATTTAGAAAAAAAAAAAAACTACTGATGATCCCAGACTTTTGAACGGTAGTGTATTTGAATCTGTCTTTTTGTGACCTCTCTTATCATTCTCAAAAATAAATGACAAGGTGACAGTATCACAGTCATTTGAATTGGTATTACAGGAATTCACTGTGACAGAATACTTGTGCTGGCAAATGGTGATATTTTGCAGTCTGTGCCTGGCAGGAGAATGACGTGGATGCCATCCACCCAGGTTACGGCTTCCTGTCAGAACGAGCAGATTTTGCCCAGGCGTGCGTGGATGCTGGGGTACGTTTTATCGGCCCCACCCCAGACGTGGTGCGCAAGATGGGGGACAAAGTTGAGGCCCGTTCCATTGCCATCAGTGCAGGTGAAGCATTCATCATCTGATCTCCTCGGGGAACATCATTCTGTCCTCTCTCTTATCACATTATATCAACAGTTGTGTCGCAGAGCAGAGTACAACAGCACCCGTCCACTTTTTCAGAGGCATTTCCAGAAGTATTTTTTCCCTAGGGGGTTTAAAAAAAGTCTTTGCCAAGGAAATTGAACCAAACCAACTAGCTATGAGATGAAAAATTTGTCTTTTTGTCAGATTTTCAAATATTTTTTGCTTCAAATCAAAGGTACAAGAGGGAATTACTGTGTACTAATGAGGGAATTACTTTGAGGGAAAGAACTGTAATCCCATGAAGCATTATGAATGACGTAATCAAAATAAAAACAACAGAGAAATATAAAACTGTTATAGATATAATTTTATTGCAAAACAATGTGTGTGT